ATATAATAAAAAATAAATATAGAGGGTTACACCAATGCCCAGTGTAGATTAAAGCAGATATAATGACTAAGCTATCTAATACAGTACCCCTCATTAATTTGTAAATCAGGAGATGCTTGTCTGACAGGTCGGGTAAGGAGAAAACCCTGGGGTTTAAAGCTAAAGACAGCTGTCAGAAGCAATGCTACGTTGAGCACACCCGTTGTGCACGCAGACCATTGTTGCATCTGTTGTGCCAGTTTCACATTGCTAGTCTCATATTCTTCCCACAGCCCTGGGACGTACAAGTTTCTGCAGCCGCACTCATTTCACTGCACAGAACTAAACGCCCACTTGCTGTGCTGCAGATTTTAGCTCCAGTAGTATTCTGCATAAATGCTCAGACACCAAGTAGCATTAAACCGCCTGGTACCATATGGTATATTGGGCTCTGCATTTTGCTATTCTTTGGACTTATACTGAACCAATCATCAGAGTGATAGTTCTCTTCATCCTTCTAACTAATCAACATTTACACAGCATGGTGTTTGTCTGAAACAAGCAGCACCTACTCTACTCTCCCTCCTTCATCTTCATCAACTCTCTTCTTACGCCTCTTTGACATGTTTTTTAATACATACCACTGAGCTACAATCGATGCTAATGTTTCTTGCAATACTTTGGCGACTTTCCTCCTGGATGGCAATAAAAGCCGTCCACTGACATTCACCAGACTAACATGACCTTGTTTTTTTATGCAGCATTCCCCTCGCTATGCTGAATGGCCATATCTCAAAAAACAGACCCGTTCAAGTCCTGATATATTGCAAAATGGAAACTGGATGATGCGTATGTGATCCTGATGATGAAGTGACACATAATACAACACTAAACCTTTCTCATAAGGGAGTGGAGAGGCAGTATAATGAAGGATAATTTGAAGAACCATTGCTTAACAGTGTGGAATGATTGAGTGGGTGTGTGCGTGTCTACGTGTGTGTGTGTGTGTGTAGTGCTAACCAGGTTACGCACCCTATCTTATTCACTTATTAGCCAGATGACTGGCATAGTTTCTAGTGGTGTGACAGCATGCCGAGCATTGAATCGTGCATTTTTATTAGGCTACTCAGCATTTTAGCCGTCAACATCAGACATTCCTGCAGTTGATTACCATCAAACCTGGCGGGTCCAGTCCTTCACTGTTAACTCACAGTGGGTGGGTAGATGACTGTGAGGACTCTCTGCATGTTTGTGTAGAGATCACACGGGTCAAAGTTTCTTCAAAAGGAAAATCTAACCTGCCAATCATTAACAGAATGAGGCTTGTTGTGCAACCCTGGGCTGAGGTCCATTCCTGAATCTGCACTCATCAGTGGAGGCTGATAGGTGTTGGTTGATTGGGAACAGCTCAGGCCGGGGACATGTCCCCATGCCAAGCTGGAGCTGTGCTGGCCCCGTTGAGGCGGGGGAACCAAGGGCAAATTCCTGCGGTGTATTCACGCTCACTGTGCCACTTATTGCGCAAAGTGAGCAAATGCCTCCTGCAGGAATATCAAGAGAGAAGTGGATCTAATGAGTGTGGGAATGGATTTGTCCTTGTAGTATGCGAGAAGCAAGTCCGTAAGGTCAAAACCAGGAGCGATTTGTTGGATGCAGACTTTTCCATCATGCTGATTCTTCATATTTACCATGTTGAGTAATACAAGAGGGGAACAAGACGGCACTGCTTAGGATTTTTTGGTATTCTTGCCTTTATTTGGTGTCAATGGTAGAGCAACAGAGACCGGAAAGCCTAGGTCAGGAAACAACCAGATGACATGTGACAACAGGACACAGCTCACAATTGAAACCAGAACACTGGAGGTGTATTAGTAGTTCGCACATCGAGAGCACCACTAACACTAGGACTTCATCTGCTTGTGTAAAAAATGCTAGATGCTATACCTCATCTCTCTTATGCTCAATCAGTAAAAAATTGAAAATCTTGATGCTTTAAATCGAATAAAACAGATTGATCTGTGAATGTATGAAGAAGCTGTAATGAATAGTACAAGATTTTGGTATCAGAAACGTCCTGGTTTCCATTTGTAGGACTAGTTGTTGTAACCAATCATGTTTGAGCAGGCTTTAGTCGCCTACAGGTAAAACATTTGTGTGGAGAGCAAAACAGGTGGAACATGTTGGCCGAAATGCAGTATTAGAACCTATTGGCTATTGTCTGAAGACGATTTAGCCTTTTTTTCTTTCAGCCATCGCAACCAGAGGCTTTATCATTGTCAGACGATAGCTGATCTGTTCAGACGTTGCTTAAAAGGATACATTTGGCAGCAGTTAGGCTTTAACCTAAAGGTCCAGTGTGGAGGATTAAGTGGCATCTAGTGTTTAGTTTGCAAAACTGACACCTCCTGTGTGCCAAAATGTATAGGAGAACTACAGTGGCTGAAGCAAAAATGGTCATTTGTCCTTCGTAGACGAGGACCCGCCCCCTTTTGTAGATTTTAACAGCTCATTCAAAATCAACGATAGATCAGTTCTTATTTTCAGGTGATAAACTAATAAAACCAAGTTATGAACATAATATACCTTCTCTGCCAATAGATGACATCCTACACACTACTGCTTAATTTGCACTGTTTGAATATAACTTAAAGTTTCCCTGCCCTGCAGATCACAGATTCACTGTGCAAAGGATCACTTTTTTGGGAGTCTCTTGTGATGTGGATATTTCAGAATTGTACAGTGTGAGTCTTTGTTTCCTTGGCAGAAGCAGAGGTTTGTCCTTGCAGTGTGTTTCCAGTTGTCCATTCGGTACATTGAGCAATATTTCTCAACACCCCAGAGTACCTGGACTGAGTCCAGTGAACTGCAGTTTGTTACAGGCGAAGCTCCTCGCCTGACAAACATGTTATTAAGTCTTTCTCACAGTTCTTGGATCCACCACATGCTGAAACATGTCAAAGTATGCAGTGACACCACCGGAGGTTTTATTGTAACCTTCGACAGTGTGGCAGGCGGTGCATGCAAATCCAGCTTCTCAGCGACAGTTAGGCTGCACATATTTCTCATGTCGTAAGGCAGGGCGAAAGTACAGCGATGTGGGTGGATGAGCTAACAAGGAAAACAGCGAAGTACACAAGCCAAAAGGCCTGGAGCAGTCAGGATCACTGCTGATTGATTGTTCTTATTTGTTAAGGTGGTGTACTTTTGAAATCAGAATTAATTAGCACGTTTCCCACTGTTGCAGTCGTGTTCAGTTGATTCACAAAGAATATTAAAACTATAGATGTTTAAAATGTCATTCATGCAACTGAGTGAATGACCCAAGGTAAGCATGCAAATCAGAGCAGGTTTAGTAAAAAAACACGTGCTGTCAAAACAAAGAGAAATTTACTCCTGGATTCACGTCAGAGTTTTAATGTTTTTATTCCGTCTCTCAGCTTGTGTCAGGAGTGTATAGCTCTCATAAATCAGCTGTGTCACAGTGGCAGATCAGTTGTGGTCAATGACTCTGATGCTTATCTGTCTTCATTTTCCTATTCTGTCTGCCTGTCTGTGTGCACAGACGTGATTTGGAGCTGAACTGTGAGATGGACTTTACAGTTAACAGCTGTGACTGATGGAGAGATGGGGAGAAGCGGACCAGATCATTCAATTTACCTTTCTGTTCTTTTACACGACTTGTCAGACGCTTTGTTGAGCAATGCATCCTGGTGCTAAATTAGGCACATTTGTTTCTTTCACACATAAAATCCTTTTTTCTAATTATTCCAGCTTCGCCAGTATATGTGTGTCCTCCAACATCAGAGTCAGCAGCATTTGTAGCCAGCCTCCCCTGACACACCCCACCAGTGCCCAGATTTGCAACACAACACACACACACACACACACACACACACACACACACACACACGGATTTATTTTCCATTACTGCCAAGGTGGGCAGCTGGACACAATGTTAGTTTGTTCTTTTTCCGCCCACTTTCACATGCTTTCTGTGTGACTGGTTGGCAGGCAGGCGGAGCCAGTTCAGATGGCCCGGGACGAGCTGTGAGTGACATTTTGTCAGGACCAAACAATGCGTCCTGCCG